TAAAATTATATTACAATTTAAATGTTTATAAAAATTATTTTAATGAAAATATACTGTACTTTAAATTACTACCAAAAATCCATTACAATTAAAATTTTCACTTATTTCTGCGAAATAAATTAAATTTAAATTTCTAGATTAATTAAATTAAATCTACATTTTTAAATTAAATTTAATTATAAAATAAATCCAAATTTCTAAATTAAATTTAATTAAATTATATTTAAATTTCTAAATTACATTTAATTAAATTAAATCTAAATTTCTAATTTAAATTTAATTAAATAAAATCTAAGTTTCTAATTTAAATTTCTTTAAAAAATTCGTTGTAGTTGCAATTTATACAAAAGAAAATCGTGTATCAAAAAATCGAACTGACGTTTCGATAATAAAATGAGACCTTCGTCTTCGTTCATTGTGACAGAGCTGTTCACGCTAATTGCCACAGATTCAGTGAGTCCGCGCAACCATAATCTTGTCCATCGAGCTTAAGCTGGACCATCGAGACTATCGAGTTATCGATCCCTAGCCGTTAAACGCGGACTGGTTTATCGAGCTAACCGCGCGGTATAACGCTCACAAATAGAAAGTCCGCCGCGCTATTTGCATGTCTAGCATTTTTTCCATCCGACGGCGGCGGCGGCGGCAAGTTTACGGTAAACAAGTTGCGTCCGCCACGAATTTAGAAATTCCGTGATGAGAACGCGTTGTACAAACAGCTTAGCGGACGTTAATTCGTCCCGCTTTCGCCTCGGGCTTTAAACACATCGATTCGAACACGATGCGTCAATAGCACGCCCGTAGCATCCTCCGTGAATTAATGTTTACTATGACCTTCGGCAAACACACACACACATATCCGGGTCGCCAGAGTGTGAGAATGAAAGAGAGAGAATCGCGATACAGAAATGAAATTCGAGCGCGAAGACGCAGATCGAATTCCATATCTGGCTTAAGGCTATCGTTGGCCAATCACGGGCCAGGATGTCGTTTCGCAAATTTTCGTGACGGCTTGTCAGAAGAGATTCTAACAAATTAACGCTACAACTGCAAGGTCATCGTGTGGATGACAGAATTATTTGCTCCGATTTCGAAATTAATTTAACAAATTTGATTTACTTGATTCGATACTTATTCATATTAATTTATTATTTTTGTTCGTAATTTGTAATTTAATTTTTAATCTATAACTTAATTCATAATCTAATTTCTAATTTAATTTATAATTTATAATTTAGTTTACAATTCAACTTATAATTTATAATTTAATTTACGATTTAATTTATAGTTTCTAATGTAATTTACAATTTAATTTCTAATTTCTAATTTAATATACAATTTAATTTATAATTTATAATATAATTTACCATTTAATTTATAATTTATAATTTAATTTACAATTTAATTTATAATTTTTAATTTATTTAATATATTCAATTTACAATTTAATTTTTAATATATTCAATGTATTCAATTTATTAATCTATTAGATTTTGCTATTTTTATCAGGATCCATAAAATGAATGAGTGTCGATCAAGAATTTGTTGTTATACAGCATAACTTTTCAATTTTAATTTGGTTAAATAAGATACTATGATGCACAATTGTTAATTACTTAGCATAACCGATTATCGTAAAAATTAATTAGTCAATTAGTTGAATTCCATGTGAAGTCAATGAACATCCAATTAGCTCGAAGTTGCGAAACACGGGAACCTTGGCGGACACAATCACCTCTCACAGTGATGATCACGTGACTCGTATCACCAGCGCTCTATTTTCTCCGAATGTTCTACTTTGCAGGCTCATTTCACAATTTCGACTTTGCCTTAAACGCTGTTTCTTCGCTTCTTTGTTACGTTTTTTCCTTTCAAATTTGGTGAATACATTCATCGAATTTAATTAATTAATCAAGTAAATTAAGTCAATTAATTGCCGTAAGAAATATTTAAGACTTCGCTCCCACGCTTCCTACGCTAAGCGCATATGTCATGGAATTTTCAAAAAACTGTCACTCATAAACTAGCGATGCTACGGAGACAAAAAATTTTCAGAATACAATTGAAACATTCTAGAATATCGTTTCCTTTGTTAGAATTCGATACCTCGCTTCCGACTATGTCGAATTAATTGTTAATTTCTGCTTTTCGATAAGTACAGTGTGGGTCATTTTGTCCCGACGTTTGAGATTAAAATTTTAAATAATGGAGCGATATTTTGATGGCTCGAGGAGCCAATCAGTGTAACCACTAACCTCAAAATCGAGGTAAATAAGGATTTTACTTATTGGATGTAAAAAGCAACAGTGCCTCTAATTGTGCAAAGCACAATTTTTATTATAATCAAATAAACAAGAAAGTTGATATTATTATTTAATTATTTTATATTTCACTTCTTTCGATAATATATTTTTTTAATATTCTTTTCAGTGCTGCTATCTATTGCCGACTTATGAAGAAATCTACTGTATCGATTTATCGACCGAAAAATCCTATGATAAAGAAGATCCAACGTGTCGCAATGCGTGACTAATTTAAAAAAAAAACGGCTTCGATAGACTTTCGAATTGTCCATTTAAACAAAATAGTAGAAACGTTTCACTCTTTTCTGAAGTACTATAGCCGGTTCAGGCGAAGCGATGAAATATAAATTTATAAGTTTAATATAGATTTATAAGTTTAGTATAAATTTATCAATATAATATAAATTCATAAATTTAATATAGATTTATAAGTTTAATATAAATTTAAAAGTTTAATATAAATTCATAAATTTAATATAGATTTATAAGTTCAATATAAATTTATATATTTAATATAAATTTATAAGTTTAACATAAATTTATAAATTCAATATAAGTTTATAAGTTTAATATAGATTTATAAGTTTAATATAAATTTATAAATTCAATATAAATTTATAAGTTTAATATAAATTTATGAGTT